TGAGTGGGCGGCAATAATAAATGCCGCTGAAGAAAGCAGAGAGGGCTATTGCAAGGCTCTCAAGGGCAAGATTTTGTTCAGTGCTCTGTACGGAACCTACACAGTTACACTGAACGATCTGAAGTCCCTAGTGAAAGCCAGAACATCGGAGGCAACAAAAACCCAGACGAAGCCCTCCCAAGAGGAAGACTTCAAAGAGGTCCGAAGGCGGAAACGGCAGAGCACAACCGAGTCCGCCCCGACTTCAAAGAAGGCAGCGGCTGCCACAGGCAACACCAAAACCAAAGAGGTGCCTACCCGCAACTACTTTGCTCCTCTCAGGGTGACGACAATGGACACCGACTCTGCTGGTGACGGAGCCACTGCGCTGGAGGAGGGATCCACTACTCTGGAGGTGGATACATCAGGGAGAGCAGGCAGGCCACCCCCAATAATTATAACGACTACTGTAAACCTAATTCAATTGCAGAAGCAACTTAAAAATGTGGTCAGTGGTGACTTTGAGTTCCATGGAATGTTTCAACAGCAGGGATTTTAAGTTCCTCTTAAAAGAGTTTTTTTTTTAATTTAATCTGCTCAGGGACTTCATTATACAAGGTGATACCCATATTTATGCTTTTCTAAAAAAGAACTGTACTGCAATGATTTATATGTAAATTTAGTTTTCTTTGGGCGTTTTAATTATGGATGTCACATACATATCATACATGAGTTAGCAGTACATTTATATGTGGCTATCACGCTTTCAGATAAACATATATCTTTCACTGATATATCTTTCAGAGTGCGAGAAAAACTTAAGAAGACTACATGCAATTGGAACTGAATAATCCACCCAGTATGAAAAAAAGTAAAATCTTCAGTAAGAGAGCTATCAAATAATGGCCACCAATCCAAGAGCAGAGGAACATCCACTGCTGGAAGATATTACCAAGCAGCACAGTGAAGACTGTGACTTAGAACACTAGTCTGTTTACAAAAACAACCAAAATAGTATCACCAGTACAGGTACAATATGACATATGGAAGCTGACCTGCCAAGGGGACCTAATATGGATTCCACCTTACACTATATGAAATCTTAACTACTGTAATCTACTGTAATCTATTTTAAACAATTTTAAGTATTGTAACTTTATTCTCTTATTGTAATCAGCCAATGTACAGTAACTGACTTGTCCTCTATCATGTAACAATGATCTATTGAGACAAAATAAATAAATAAGACCTGATTTCTTGTATGAACTTGATCGGGATGATCTAACCAGAAAAGGGTGAAAAATGGGACAGATATTTACAACTGAATACTGTACTTTTCACCTGCTAATATTATTCCACTTTTTAATGTGTATTTAGTTTAAATAAAGCAACAATGCTCATTTTAGTTTCTATACTAATACTAGGTTTCAAAAGAAAGTAGCCTAGTATGGCTATGATTATAGTACAAAACATGATTTAGAAGCCCCTCCACAACTTACTTTCACTGCTCTCAACACTCCCTCCAACGGTCTGCACCCTTCTATGCATTTCTTCACTAACCTTCTCAGGCAAATGTCCACAGTACCAGTCATGGATGCAAACACAGCATTTGTATCATGTTTCTGACAAATTTAATAATTTAAAAATGTCCTATAACCAGTGATTGAGGAGGCAGACGTCCATCTTTTATATTTCCTTCATGTCTAAGCACATATATCAGACATCTCATCTCATTTATTTACATTCCATAAATCCACTACATATAGGATAAGGAATTAGTCATTGATAGTACAAATAACACTACATAGAAATAACAGTATAAGATTCATTACATTATTCAATACCATAATAGATCACAGTTAATTACTGGAGTCAAATTTACAATTAAAGTATTCTTCCAAGGAATAAAACGAGTTCATCAACAAAAATCTTCTTAAACAATTTTAAAATGTTAACAGCTTGAGCCAAGTTCCTTATATTAGAAGGAATACATACAATAATTTATGCACTGATGTGTTCTGAAGTCATGCACAACGAATCATATTAACGTTATCTTTCCAACTCCTGCTTGCATTCAAATACAGAAGTCTATATGGTGTTACGAAAAAATTTAAGATCTATTACCATGATCCTTTATTTACTCCACTTCAATATCACATTTTCAATAAACTCTACCAGAACACTACCAAAAGTTCTTCCTCACCTGACTTCCATGGCTAGCTTTTCTGTCGCCTTTTTTACCTTCAGGAGGCATTGTTAAATTCTCACATACCTTCTGCGTATATTTCTAGCGGTTCTTCAACACCGCAGCACAAATATTGCTTAGTCATCATAATATGCAAGATGGACAAGATCACAATCACCTTACAGTGAGACTTCCTGATGAAATTTTTTCTGCAGCCATAACGTTAAATGATTTAGATATCAGGTATTACATTACGATAAAGGAAAATTACTCTGCTCCTTTGCTTCAAAATACCGCTTTTATACAGCTTAGTAATATACGAACAACATAACATGGCCATCACACCAAATACCAAAATTTCAAATAGCAATCTCTGAGCAATCCAAAGAAGAATGGAATTAAAGGTATGACGGGTATGACGTCGGACAACGTTTATACATTGTTTTCGCGGAACATTCGAATACCCGTTCAGCAAAGAAACGGCGGTGTTCTTTCCTTAAGGGAAAATTACACAGTGACATCGCTTCACGTTGTGATACGTTATCATTTGCAACATGCCTGTAACATGAAATGCCATGCTAACACAATGGAATGTAAAAAATTAAGGCATTGTTGACGTCTTGGTTTGCAAACGGTTTATATGTAACAAACTTTTAAATTTTATTTCATAACTCAGAAGTGAATTAGTGTTGGGTGTATATTTATTGACAGTGTGCTTTGGGGCAGTTTATGTGGAGATTGGTGCGTTGAAAATCTGTACATGCGACTTCTCTATACAGGGATTACGGAAATACTGGGCACAGCTTTGCTGAAATCTGAATGTCATGCCATCATGAATAAATATCCAGAAGGAAGTTCTGTAGTGCAACAGATATAGAGTACTCAGTGACATTGATGACCTTAATGGATGCACACCAGCTAATGTGGGGACGTTCTGAGTGGACCTCTATTGTGAATAGTATGGAGGAGAACAGAGCAAACTTTTGTAAAGTTGTAAGATTTGAGGCTTTAATGCCATGACTATGAAGAAAGCAGTCTTCTGGGATTTGGCACCGTGTATATGTGGTGTTAACCGACGTTTCGGAGGAACGTATCGCCTCCATCTTCAGAGTAGAAGGAAAAATATAAGAAATCTGCAAGTGAAGATGAGACACCACTTTTTAGCACTCTTCATGGCATGCACGCAGTAACACTGAATAAACTGATGGCCATCCTGAAGGTGAGTGCACAGGCAGGACAAAGTGGTGTAGTGAACGAAACCTCGGTGGAATCAATGGCCCAGAATGATGACTTCCATAAAGCAAAGAGATGCAATAAGCATATCTCCAATAATACCTTGCAGACAGCCAAGAAGTCGACTCAACCAGTCCCAACATCTGCAGCTGCCAAGCTGCCTCCAAAAGCAGTAACTCATACTTTCTTTGCCCCTCTCAGAACTAATGATGTGGATATGGAGACTAATGAAGCAGGGAACACACTACTGGAACAGGGGGTTCCCAGAACATCAGGTAGGCCATCACCAATAAAGATGGCTTCTACCACAAACCTCATTCGGTTCCAGAGTGACTTAAAAGACCATATCAAAGGAAAGTAGAAGTTCTGAAATACACAAAATGGAACCTGTATCAGAACAAAAGAAATTGTGTACTATGGTTGTAGTATTCTTGGATATTGAAAAAAGCCTTTAATACATTATGGCACCTTGGCTTGCTATATAAATTATCTGAATTAAAATTGTTGATCAGTCTAATCAAGCTCATTAGCTCTTCTCTTTCTCAGAGAAAATCCTGAGTCTCGGTCAAATGTGAAATGTCTATGCCAAGGAATATGTATAAGGAGGGGTGCCACAAGGTTCCATCCTGTCCCTATTATTATTATTATTATTATTGGANGGAGGACTTGTTCCCTGAATTTTTCCGCCCTTAAAAATTCCACGACCTCCGCTGGGTTTGAACCCACATACCTTGAGTCATGAGGTGGGAACGTTACCCCTAGACTATGGAGGCCACTTCCTGTCCGCAACACTGAAGGGTATGTATGTGTGTGTGTGTGTGTATATATATATAGATAAATACATGATACACCCCAAATACCTGGTGTCTATGTCTCATTGTTGATGACACCTGTATATATGCGACAAACCACAAAGAGAGCAACGTTCTCAGAAAGTTGCAGTGAAGGCTCAGTGTTACTGAGACATGGCGTGAATGGTGGAACATAAAAATCAATGGACACTCAGACCATCTACTTTTCTCATAGGCTTAGATCCCCCGAGGCTCATCTTATATCGAATGGATGGCATATCCCTTTCCTCGAACAAAAACAAACTCCGTGGCCTTTATTCTGCTAGTGAACTATACCGACCGAATGACTGCCGCTTGTTGGTGCCAACTTTTGTGGGTAGAGGATGTTGTGTGGTCAGTGCAATGTATTCACACAGCTGTTAATCTGTTTTCTAGACCGAAGCCGCTACTTTTCCATTCAAGTAGCTCCTCAATTATACTCATGAGGCTGAGTGGACACTGTACCAGACTGTTCAGAAAATCTAGTAGCAACGGGAATAGAACCCAGGACCTCTGGATCTGCAGCCAGGAACTCTCACCTATAAACCACAGGGGAGTTTTTCCTTTTCCTCAATCATGTAAAATATCTGCGATGTCTTTGATAAGAGGATTACATGGAGAATACACACAAAAATGATTGAAGCCAAGGCCTTCAGAACATGTACTACTCCCTATTCAAAAGTGAGCGTTTAGGAGCCAAAATTGAACTATCAATTCATAAAACATTAATTAAATCAGTAATGACGTACGTGTGCCCCGCCTGGGTATTAGCAGCAGACACCTACCTCTTAAAATTGCAGCACATACAAAACAAGGTTCTCCACATCACTGGAAATTTTCCAAGGTGCATACCAGTCTGCAATGTGTACCCAGCTTTCAACCTTCCGTATGTATACAATTATATAATAAAATTGTGCAGGCAACAAGCAGAAGTAATACAAAATCATAAGAATGAATATGTTTGCAGCATAAGAGAAGGTGAAGAGAGATATAAAAATATAATAACCCTAAACCTGGTGGTGGTCAAGCTTATGGCTGTTGAAGTGACTAAACAATCATTGTAGCATAAGATAAGATAGACATGATCTGCTTTGCAAAGCCTGGACTTACAGAGACCTTTTATACAGTGAAGGAAGAATTTTCAATAACATTGCTATATGTGTGATACATACACTTGACAAAAACAAAGCNATCATTGTAGCATAAGATAAGATAGACATGATCTGCTTTGCAAAGCCTGGACTTATAGAGACCTTCTATACAGTGAACAAGGAAGAATTTTCAATAACATTGCCATACGTGTGATACATACAGTTGACAAAAACAAAGCCTATTCATAAAAGACAAACCTAACCTCTCATCAGAGATGATGTTAGATAAGGGCTAAAACTGCAAGCGGTCAGTCACAAAAAAAAAACAACTCTGGTAGAGAGCCTCAAGAGGCGTTGTGCCAAGATGGATTGGAAGTAAACCTCCAGTTGTAAAGTATGACTCAGCTCTTGAGCTGCAGCTGAACAGTGCCAGCCAGAGAGGATGGAAGCTCCTACCAAGCAGTGCAGTGAAGACCGACTGAGAACACCAGTCTGTGTGGTAGTGATATGTAAAGAGTAGTCACAAGTTATAGCTGGACAGGTTGCAATGTTGTGAATGGGTATGCAAACCAGAGGATACTTAGGAGGTGGAAAAATCTGCAGTGAATATATTCAACTGTTGCATATCACGATGCAATTTCATTATCTCTACATTCCATATATCCATCACCTAATGAAAATTAACACCAAATGCAAATTCTGTAGTATGGACATTGCCATTGAGATTAATATTTTTTATATGTGAACAGAGTAACAATAACTTTATTTACATTCTTCCAAGTTAGCTTGGTGCTGATGATAAGAGATGGAGGCGATCTCTGAAACATTGGTTCTTAACACTCACACAGGTGATTGCCCAACAAGATTTTTGCACAACCGTATACATTTATCATGTTCTTCACAAAAGCAGGATGATAATAAAAGACAAATAAAATACCAGTAAAATAAAATAATTTATAATATATTTAGTTACAGACAATAAAAGGTTTTAACTCAACTCAGACTCAATTATATAACAGCCTGAAAATCCATAGGCCAAATTGCATGTCATTATGTCACTGTTGGATTATAAAATTTATAAACATAACATAGGATCTGTAAGAATTAAACTAAGTATGCAGCAGCAAAAAAGGCTCCATGAGTTCTACCCAGAACTAATTCTGGTACAGCTATCAGTATAATGCCTACAATATGTGCTGGATGACTGGGGAACCAGGTTTCAAAACCCAACTGGAAAAGAGATTTTTTCTTCTCCACAACACTGACACTGACCTGGGGCCATACAGCCTTCTGATCAATTGGTACTGGGGACTCTTTTCCCAGAAGTAAAGTGGCTGGGACATGAAGACGATCACTCTCCATCAAATGCTGCAGCTGTGCCTCCACTCCCCTGTACACCTTCATGGTGCAGTGCTTAAGCATAGGGCAAATTTACCTTTCTATCTTACCTGAACTTTGTTATATGTCATAGTCTCAGATTTACTACAAAATCCCACACTTGAGAGTTCAAATCCATGGCCTCAAGATAGATCATTTTACTTTGTATAGGAATAGACTTGCCACAGAGGTAAATTACAGACTGTTACTACATTGGATATAATATGAAATCTCATTCTGTTTTAAGACTGCATTTATTTTATTTTACATTGTTAAGAAAAGGTTATTGAACAAACAGAGGGACAGACCATGCAGCCATTCATTCTGGCACTTTTATCATATCATCACTTATTTTTATAGCATTTCATATTATAAATATATGGATTCTCATAATCTATTTATTCTGTGCCAATTGTGTAATTATATATTCAACTAGCAGCATTATTTGCAGCTTCCTGTTTTATGTTTACAATATACCCCACACAAATGATCATCACATATAAATGCAATCAGCAATGCTTTCGAACCTACCACGGGTAATTTTAATGCATAAAAATCACTATAGCAAAATGTTATACATTCTTCATATAATATGCAACAGACCAAATACATAAATCTAGCGATTAAATGAACTAGTCAAAGCTAATCAATTCTGCTGTTTGCTGCTGCTGTGGTTGCTGTTGCTGAGGGCTCCCTGGGGCAGGGCCTTGTGGAGGCTGGGTCCCACCTGGTGGTACTATTGCCCCTCCTTGTTGATAGTGTGAAGCTGGGGGTCCCTGAGCACCACCCATTGGTTGACCAGGTACCTGCTGATTTTGTGGTACTGGTGCTTGACTGGGAGGGCCTTGCATCTGGGGTGGAGGTCCCTGGCTCTGTAACTGACTGTGAGACCCTTGCCCTGGTATCTGTTGTGGTCCCTGACTTTGCATATGTGGTGGTGGTCCCTGGCCTTGAATTGAATGGGGTCCTTGACCTTGTATTTGAGGAGGTCTCTGAAGCTGCATGGGGCCTCCTTGTACTTGTGGGGCTCCCTGCAACAACTGTGCTGGGACCTGTCCTTGTATTTGAGGACCCTGAATTGGAGGTCCTTGGTTATGGATTGGCCTTGGAGGGCCATGCATCTGACCAGCCATTGGCATCATGGGGTTTGGTATTGGACCCCTAGGAAGCCCATGCATTGCACCAGGTGGTACACCAGCTGGAATCGGTCCTTGAGGCATCGGAGGGAGGGGGCCTCCTGGAATCTGCCCTTGCCCAGGAGGTCCTTGCATATCTGCAATACAAAATAGCATCAAAATTATTTTGCAAATGAACAGTACAGTCCCACACTACTGACTCATGAATTCTGAATGTAAAACTAAAGAAAACACCAGGGAAGGAAGATTTATAAAAAATAAATGCATAAACCAACCACACAGTTAAATCTGATGGATACAGTACATGAGCTTTGTTATACAGGAATTTTGTAAAAGTATTCTATTTACAGCTTCTAACAATAAGACCCATATTTTAAAAACGCCTATGCAATAAATAAAGTTGATGGATCTGGTTAATCTCAGTATATTAGTATGTACGAGGTGCATCGGAAAGTTCCTGGACTAAGTAAAAAAGGAAACGCTCACTCAGATTACTAAATTTTCGCTGCCATCTCCTTCAAAATAGTCTCCTTGGGAACATATACAGTGAACCATCGTTTTTTTTTTCATGCTTCAAAAGTACCGTGGAAGTCATTTCCCTTAATGCTGTCGAGTACCGCTTGTGATTCCCTTTGGATGTCAGACACTGTTTCAAAACGTTGTCCCTTCAGTTTCATTTTCAATTTTGGAAACAAGGCAAAATCACAGGGGCTAAGTCCAGTGCATAGGGAGGATGGGGAACGATAACCATGTTGTTGTTTTCAGGGAAGTCTGGGCAGGTGTGTTGTTGTGATGAGGGAGCCAGTTGTGGTTGTGCCAAAGTTCCAGTCTTTTTTGTCGCATATTTTCTCTCAAGCATCTCAAAATATCACATATACTCACTGGGAACAGAGTACAGTCCTGAGTAGTCTCTGTAAGCGGGAAGTCCAGCACTCGTAGTTGCAGGTGGTAATGAAGTAAAGGAATTGGGCCCTGGCACTGCTGTGTACTGACTTCCATGTACAGGTGACCCATCTGTACTTGCAGGCCCAAATCCTGGCCCATGGCCTGATCAAAAGTTATACAGAAGCATAACATAGTGAAATCCCATATATTTTAACATAATAATGATTCATTTTCTTGTGATTACTTGTTTTATTTTAGTTCTGGCACTTTGTATATTGTCTCACAGTACAGTATGAAATTCCCAAGACAAACACAGAACAGGCATGGCACAGCCTATTAGTAACAGGCAAAGTACTGAACATACATGAAATTCAGTTTAAAATTCAGGTTGTTCCATACCTTCACTGGCACACCTCTTAGCACACAGACATGTCCACTGCCAGAAGAAGTCAGGAGAGTAACATATCACATGTTATTATCAAAGGATAGATACAATTTTCAACTACAAGATAATCCGTAACATGTATTTTTGAAAGGAAAAGCCTGTTTTGTGCATTAACTGGGACACATAATTACAGAAATAGCCCATCAGTCTGAAATATGT